GGATTCTTTTCTTTGTCGAAAGTCTGTATAAAATAGAAAAGTCTAGGCTACCACATCCAAAAATCCTGACTACCCTCATCTGGCATTTGAGTCTAAGCTACTAACCTTGAAAAAGTCCAGGTCATCCTTACCTGACTTTTTCACCTACATCGACTATGTCTTTGTCGAGATTCTCTAAGAACCGACTATCACGCTGCTATACCTGGCAATTGTCTCACTTTATAGCTGCAGATATACAGGGTGTCCTAAAAGTATGTATGCACTGTTTGATCATTAATATCTCTCTTCCCAAGAAATCTTTTGCCTTGCTTTGGGAACCGTTTTGTAGACCTGGCTTCAACTTAGATTTGCAGTAAAAAACGATTCACCCACCTCTCTTCATTACTGTAGAATTACGGTGTAAACTTCAAAGAGGGTTTTGAGCCATAAAAGGCCATATTTTGCTTCAGAAAGGAAACAAAACAGCCTGAAAACTGTTGCACTAGGCTAATTAGAGTTGTTGATTCTAACTGTAAAGTTCCCAACTTTTTATGACGCTTCATTGAAGAGTTATGCCGGGTAAGAGCTAGCGGCCCGGTTACACCGTTTAGAAAGCTTCGCAATCTTGTGAATAGTTGAGTATTGAACTCAGCGTCCATAAAAACCCTATTATACAAATTTTCACATTTTTTTTGAAAAATTTTGAAACGGCAGCTTTCTCCACATTGACACATATGTTTCAAGTTTCTACCGTAATCCTACAGTAATGAAGAGAGATGGATGATTCGTTCTATACTGCAAATCTAAGTTGAAGCCAACTCTACAAGGCGGTACCTGAAGTAAGGCAAAACACTTTTTGGGGAGAGAGATATTAACGATCAAACAGTGCATACATACTTTTGGGACACCTGTATGTATATAACATCAATAAGCACACACTGCTAATAAGCAAGGAATTGCAATTAATCAACAGCGCACTCACGCTGAAATAAATAGTGAAGGGGGATGCTCAATCAAACTAAGCAGCGAGTTGCAAAGCTACCACAAAAGCGCTCTTGCTGAAATAAGTAAGCAAACGAAAGATGGCGTTTTTCTTTCACAAAAAACCAATAATAGTGCTCGACATGGGGACACTGCTTGATAAGACGACCATTTTGAAGAGGTATTATTATGCGGAAATGAACTAAACAGATCGACTAATTGAATAATGTTGTAGATTCAATCAGCGGAGGGATAAAGCTCATAAAACCGCGCAGAGATTTAGTTTCGATGAACTCAAAATGAAAGGAATCGCAAAAAAAACTCGTGGGTGAATTTAAAAAATCGACAAATAAGATCAGATCATTGGAAAATCGCTGCAGATGACATGATGTACGTGCTAGAAGCACGACTGAGAGCCTTAAAAGAGAGGAGAATACTATTTAGATAGGCCAATTAACACTGAAACGGTGTGAATACCTAGTGAAATAGCAGTAAAAGGTATAAGGAGCGGAGGGAAAAGAGAACTTTCCCTCAGTGCAACCGAAGGTCTGTTCAAAGACATGTCAGTAAATAATGTCACAGATTCAAAAGACTTAATATTTGGACTTGAAGCCAAAGCAACCTAAGGTGCTGATGTTGAAGGCGATGAAGAGGAGCTCCCAGAATTTTGAGCTTCTTACATCTTGATGCTGAAAACAGCCCAAAATTCTGGGAACTCCTCTACCAAAACTCGGGGCAGTTGGAAACGGTCAAGCTGGATATCATTTTTGGGGATAAGCAAACAGGACATACAGCTTTTTAGTGAGGTCTGGAATAATGATCTCGTAATGCGTCAATTTGGCACATGTTTTAGAAGATTTCTCAAGTCGTATTGACCAGCTAACAGCCGCAGTCAGCTTCAACAAAGCAGTGCAAGATGGAAGGGTTGACGCAGGGTCTGCCACATTATTCTGATCTCATCGTTAACTTTCAGCCGTCGGATATTGTTCACAAAGGGTGGTTAAAGTATGAATATGGTAAACAGGTTCGTAACTCTTCTATTTTTATCGCATCTATTTGACCCATTATTGTCTCAGCATCATGTGAATGAAGCTGGCGTTTGCAGCATTTTGGATAATCCCGGCATAGCGCCCGGTATACTTGGGTAATTCGAAAATTTTTCATCGAATGAATGAATGTCAAATAAATTCGAGAAGGGAAAATTTCGAATAAGCGAAGATAGAATAGATTTGAAAATAAAAATTCTCGAATAAACGAATATCGAGTAAATTCGAGGTTCAAAAATTCTCGAATCAATGAATTAAACGGAAAAATAAAAATATCGAATGAATGAATATCGAATACATTCGAGAATTGGAAGTCGAATTTCGAATACATATTCGAATTATTTATCGAATAACTAGAGCAACCAGATCTCAAACTTGCCGACATATCTGGCTGAACCCGAAGTAACCTCGTATCCCCTATACCAAGTCCTAGCTCAGAATTTTCCAAAAATCGCTGAAATAGAGAAAATAGATTTCGGTTTTAATCAGCATCCTCTACCCCCTGTACCAGATCCCAACCTCGTAGCTCAAGATTTTCCAAAAGTCGACAAAATCGATAAAGTAAATTATTATTCATACTCGGCACCCTCATTTACCCCCTTGTACCAACTCCCAGTCCCGCAGCTAGAATTTCTTCAAAGATCGATAAAGTAAGTTTTTATCCATAATCAGCACCCTCGCTCACCCCCTTGTGTGGTATAAGCTAGTCCTGGACGAAGGCATGTGGTTTATTCCGCGAAGCGAGCACGAATGCCCTTATAGCCAGGACTCGGCACAGTTGGCTTGTAAGCAAGCTGGGTATCGTTTTTGTGACAAAAAGCAAAGGGGGCTTCGTTTTTGTGAGCGAAGAGAGACGCAAAACTGGCGACGACGTTTTTTTTAGTCGACGTTTCGTTTTTTGGCGGATTTTGGGGACGTTTTCAGGTTTTTGAGGAAATTTGGTTGAGGGTCAAAGGGGACTTCGTAAAAAGTCCCAAAAGCCAAGGGGGACTTCGTTTTTTCCATTTTCATCTAGCCACTTCGTGCCGAGCCCTGCCTATAGCCCCGGGCATAATGCAGGCATTTCACTGGCGACGTGGTTTGGCAATAGTCAAATTGTTCAGAACATATTCTAAAAGTACAGAATGCAGGGCAATTATCGTTTTAGTAAGTTGTACAATTTCGCTAAACATTTTAGGTAAGCTAGCGTTACATTTGAAGACATCTCGTAACTGGCAAGTCGCGTACGGCGATCTGAACCGTCTAATTCTCCACTATAACTGCGACGTCCTTTACTCATAATACACCAATTCGCAAAAAATCTTTAAGGTATATAGCGAATAGAGGCAGCTGGGCAATATAACTTATGCGAGCAAGAGTGCTCACTAATGTAGGCTTTGCGTACCACAAGAATGAGCAATGCAAAGAGAGAAAAACAGGCATTTCAAAACACTTCCAATATATGAACTCGGAACATGAGCTTAAATTTGATAGCTTCTTTACTGATTTGATGCCAATAGCAGCGCGAACAATCTCATTGATCGAAAAAGCATTAATTAAAATCCACATATGATTTTTCTCCTGCCAAGTAGTCGGAAGGATGCGACCCTCCACACAGTTCAAAGGTCATAACGGTTGCAAAAGATGCATTACCGAGTTTTGCGAAAAAAAATACGCGGACGAAGTGAGCTTGATACTCAGCAGTTGGCTCTGCAACAAAGTCGAATAATCTGAATACGGAGTTCATTCGAATACAAATTCGAATAAACATTCGAATAAAACATTCGAATAAAATCTATTCGAAACCCGTTTTTTAATGTTTCGAGTTTTCGAATAATATTGGAATCCTCGTTTTTGTATTATTCGAGTTTTCGAATTTTATTCGAAACTCTGTTTTTTGATTATTCGAGTTTCAAATTTTATTCGGAACCCCGTTTTCTCAATTATTCGAGTTTCGAGTATTATTCGAGAATGGAAGAACTCCGAATATCGAATTTAGAATACGAATATATTCGAATGTTTTATTCGAATGATCGAATTTCTATTCGATTCGGACCCAAGTGTAGGGCCCGGCACAGCTTGGACCGGGTCAAGCTAGATATCGTTTCTGGGGAAAAAGAGAGGTCGGAGAAGGGCATGTAACCGGTATGTTTTACCACAAGCAAATAAAAGCGTTCTTACACCAGACTTGGTGTGCGCATACGCTTGAAAGCACTCGAACTATGGCTTAAATATAAAAACTTACGTGAATGAAAGGTGATGAACTTTTTGCCGATATGGAACATTTCAGCGGATCTCATCCGCGCCGGAACCGTCCCTTCCCTTACATGATTTTTCATTTTTTGCACTTATTGCACCTTCACCATGAAAGTGTTTGTGCGAGCAAGAAACTGTTTTATATTGTTCACTTTGGAGTTTTTTATAGCCCTCAAATAATTTTCATTGACTATTATTTCTTGCATCTGTCATCATTCACAGGGGAGGTGAAGGGGGAGATGGCTAGAGTGGGAAGAGGAGAGGAAAAGAGGGAACTGAGTGAGGAAATGTGGAGGGGAGGAGATAAATGCTAGACCGGTAGGTTCAGGCTTCGACCATGGAGCAAAACGCGTCTGGTATATGATGCGGAAAGTAAAAAAGTAAACCTTTCTAACTTTTTTGTCTGTATAGTAGTAAAAGTGGGGTTTTTAGCCTTACACTTTCTATTCTGGAGTGAGCGACAGCAATTAAAGTGAGAAGTAGAGGGGAGGGTGGTAGAGGTCAAAGGAGACTATGTAAGAATTTCTCAAAATCAAGGAAGCTTTGTTTCAAGATTTTTCTGATTCCAGCTGGAGCAGATTGCCCGCTTTGATTTGAAGACCAACTCGACTGTACTTCATCGTGTCTTTGATGAGTTATGGGATTCTGTAGCAACTCTGAATTCACTGCTGTACTCAACCTTGAAGTTATAAGAATCAATAAGATAAAGCACTTCATGAAAAGTTTATTGCTCGCTCGATCTGGTACAGTAGCGCACACTTAAGCTTCAACGGATACTGCATCTGAAAATTCGAGATAATCGTGGAAGCGAGATATGATCGCCTCGACCACTAACCCAGTTTTGCTGGCATAGGCTTCATAGGTTCTGGTAAGTTCTTCGGACCAAAAGACTTTTTCTTGAAGAATTTTCTCTCTTTTTTTCCCTTTTGCCATCCACGACTGAGTTTCCTGTTTCGACGGAAACCGAGAGATCCCATCTTTCTTTTAGGACCATTTCTGTTTCCACGTTTTGGTTTCCGAACAACTTTCTTAAAGATGGTCTTCAGAACCTTGTAAACCTGGAAAGGTATGGGTCACTTAGATTTTGGATTCGCGACATACTCACCTTTGGATTCTCCTCTCTCAGCTTGCGGAGCGCTTCAATTTTTTCCTTGCGGCTGCCCAGTGCCTGGATTTGCTCTCTTTTCTTCTCGACTTCCGCCTGGAATTCCATTGAAATAGTGAGCATAAAGAATTCCAGCCTTCGATCAAAGCTTGCCTTTTCCTCCTCACTGAGATTGTCAATTCCTTTGACTGGAACAGCCTCGGCCTGAAACATACATTAGTCTCTTAATAAAAAAGGAGGGTCAGCATCTGTACTTGCCTTTTTGTCCTCGGGAAGAGCCTGAGGAGGCTGAGGAGCAGGTTCCTCGCAAAGTGCGAAACCGAGAAGGGCGACAAACACGAGAATGGTGTTCATTCTAAAAGTTATTTCATAAGACAACAAAATACTACAAATGATATGTATATGAGAGAATTGCGAAAGAAGCTGATGTTATGTGCGATTAGCACCGGGCTTATATGGGTCTTCCAGATCCAGACCCTCACATTTTTTCAATACCGATGAAAATAATTGTGAGAAAATGAGCCATCAACTACAGACGAAGACAGTTTTGATGCTCGAAATGCTTGGTTTATCCGACGTACGTCGTGAAATACGCCTGGTTTTCTTAAAAAAAATTCGAGTTTATAGCTGTGTTTCCCATTGACTGTAATTTATTCCTGTAATTCCATAGCATAGCTATCGTTGGAAATTGCAGAATTTCGTGACCAAAAAATGATATGTGGTATCTGGTGTTGATCCTAAAAAGCAGGGGTGGGGTCGGGGCATACTGCATATTCCACGGAAATAGAGTAAATAGAGGCAATTTGCTCAATCTAGACGGACTTATTTAAGAGCAGCAGCACGTAAATGGTGTTTGCAAAGTTTCAAGTCTCAAATACTTTCAATGCGAATCTTGCTTGGTTTTTTTTGAATTTTCTGAACTTACAGGCGATTAAATCAACAAAGAAAAAAATATTTTTTTTTGGAAGATACTGAAAAAAAATTGGGAGGAACCCTTTTTCGGATAGGAGGCATTGATCTGAGGAGGCAAGTGCGTTATTTAATTTATCATATTTTTTCAACGCCAAAAAAAACTAGAACACCTTTATTGATACTACCAGATGTCCTACAGTACCATCGCCGCCGGCCGCCGCCTTTAAAAACAGCGGATTAAGCTCGATATTGCGCCGCAAACGCAACAGCATAACTTCCTAAAAAATCATTTTCAAGCAGAAAGAGACACATATTCGGAATCAGCGTCCTTCGCCTCTATCTACCAGGTTGTCCCATAAGTTCCGTCCATTTTGAATTTCAACCGCAATAAATCACATACTTCCTAGTTGCCAATAGTCTTCAAAGTACTTCGATAGAGTAAAGCAAGCTCTACAAGAAGGCATTATTGCTTTTGCAACAGCTTTAATTCAGCTCGAGATTGAAGCCAGAAACCAAAAAGATTCAACCGCCTGAAAAATCAAGAAAAAGTCCGTCGAAAAAAATCTTAGAAAATTTCTAACTTGCTCACGCATACACTTACCATATAAGTCATTTATATGTACCATTTCTGTGTTTTTTACTCATCTAGAAGTTGAAAAGGGAGGATTTTTGGCGAAGTGATGCGCTGGTGTTCCTACATAGTTAATTGCATACTACCCTATTTTCAGGTGTATAAGCCGCAACCTTTTTGCTCTAGACGCGAGCAGACCCAGGCGTGCCGCCGCGCATATGTCTCGCGAAGCGGTCGCCTTATCGCATACTGCTCTCACTTAACGCGCTCCATGATGACAGTCAGCCTTTTGGCGTGTTCGCCTTTAGAGTGAAAAGGGTGCGGCTTATACACCTGAAAATAGGGTAGAACCCTGTAGAAGTACATACGTAAAGTTCCAGCTTGCTACGGGCTTTGATTCCCTAGAAATATCCAATGAAGCTACCCTTAGTCAGGTCTGTCACGCTAAAGTTATTTCTCGAAAACTGAAGCCTGTAGTAAGCTGAAAATTTACGTATATACTTCTACAGGGTTGTAATATATAAATAACTGTGTAGGAATACCACAGCATCACTTCGGCAAATGCATGAAAATCCTCCCTTTCTCGACTTCTAGGTGAGTAAAACAGAGATGACACATATAAATGTCTGTTGTGGACAGTGTATGCGTGAGCAAGTTAGAAGTTTTCTAAGATTTTTTACGGAGTTACAATTTTTTCTTGATTTTTTGGCGGTTGAATCTTTTTGGTTTCGGGCTTCAATTTCGAACAGAATCAAAGCTGTTGCAAAAGCAATAATGCCTTCTTGCAGAGCTTACTCTATCCAATGGTACTTTGAAGACTATTTGCAAATAGGAAGTATGTGATTTATTGCGGTTGAGAGTCAAAATGGACGGAACTTATGGGACAACCTGATAATACCATATTTTGGTTTTCGAAAACACAATTTTCTCATTTTTCCGATGAAGTCACGGTAAACGTTCACGGTTCTGGGGTTTTTGGCTTAGAAATCGCTGTATAGCTCGCGGTCAGTGAGATTTTCTGGTGCAAATTATGCTTACTGTGGAAGGACCTTTCTCTTTGATTTTCATGAGGTTCTAAAGGTCTAGAAGTTTTTTATTTTTAATAAAAAAAATTTCTAGCTGAGCGAAAAGTTCAGATTTTGAAGATACGTAACTCGAAAAATCTGTATTCATGGGCAAATCATTTGATACTGTCAAATAAAGCAACAGATCTTCTAAAAGGCTTACTTGGAATCACCCACTTGTGCTGTTTTTCCTGCAATATATATGAGCCCAAATCACGTTGCTCATGCTCTGAATTCGATGTGAGTCTACCTTCAAAAGACCACATCTCAAGAATGGGCATGGTTACATGCCAGCATTTTTGTACAATGATAGCGTAGGCTTTGTTAATTAAGTATTTGCATGCGTATTTTCAACAAAACAAATGTATCTAATTTGGTGGGCAATTTTTGTGAGCAAGCAACAGATCCGTAGGATTTGTTTGAACGAAGATATGAATTTTTCGCGATTTTTTGAATTTCAGTACGACTCAAATTTTGGGTGCAAACATAGGGTGGGTCGAAGCTGGTGCCTTTTGCATACCATCTTGTAGAGTTTGCTTTGCTCTATCGAATGGTACCTCTCTCGGATGTAAAGGATATTCGTCGACGACTGCCCCAACTAGTGCAATTACACCACCGTGGGCGTGCCTTTTCTTTGGAGCCCTTCCAGCTTGACAGTAAGACAGGACAGGACAGGGAAAGGACAGAGATGCTGCGAGCTACCAGTTCCCCTCGAGCTGCAGCGTATTGAGCTGGAAACGCCCCCAATAAAGCATGCCCAAGGTGGTGTAATTGCACGAGTCTGGGCAGTCGTCGACGAATATCCTTTATATGCATTAAGTTTCGAGAAATAGCAGATATCGTCTGAAAATGTCTCAGAACTTTCGAGCCAACCTAATAAAAATTATTGGAAATCCAACAATGCATAGTAAGGATTGAAACCAAATTATATTGAGCAGTGCTTTGCGTAGAGGATTAATATAGGATGATCAATCTTACCTACATGCACCTAGGCCAATCTGCTTTTTTCTATTGTAGCTCAACAGCCGGTAGCGTTATTTTTCCGGTAATCAAATTAATGGCAAATATTTTCGTACGCTTGGTGGCCCAATGTTGACTTTGCCCAGCGCTTCCATTGTTTCCATGCATAGGAACGGAACGAAAATGCATCTGGTTGATGACAGTCATTGGGCACTAAACACCTCTTCATCAGCTTTCCCACCCCCTTGCCCCGGTATCTGGTCGGCCGCCCATTCACAATGCGCCCATACGATATTTGTTGATCTCATGAAATGCAGCACATAAAGTGCAACTGAATGAATTTGCGAGATGAGGGGAGGGCAGGAGAGAAGTGGATGTCGTGCAGGGCTTTTTTCTTGCCCTCGAGCTTGTTCTTTTCGCAATCGCTAGATCGGGCGACCGAGAAGGTGAAAAAAAAAACAATGAAAAAGTGCTTACGAACAACAAGGGCATTATTTTGCCATCTGTTGTTTTTAACCCCAAAGTGCGCAAAAACGACCACTTGGAAAGACTAAAGAAGACCTTCCCCGATCAGGAGCGGTACTTATCAATCTTCCGCACATCCTCCCATACCTGTTCGGGGATCTGAGTGAGACCACTGTCAAGTCCGATTTGTGGGTCCTCAAGCAGAGGAAAGACAAGATATGATAAATGAAATGAAATGTATACTATTAGTCGCGCCTTTAAACGCTGATTCCAAATCTGCTTCCTTTTTTCTGCGAACAACTTTCTGAAAGAAGCTATGATCATTTAGCTCAAATTTTTCAAACCAGTGGCGTAAAATCGTCGTGTACAAAAGCACCTGTGCTGATTTTTACTGACTGTGATCCTTCCTTGTAGTCAGTATAGGTGATACAAAATTGATTACTCATTGCAGGCGTTTTTGGACAGGTTTTCGCCTTTTTTATGCCACTCAAGACTCAACAATTTTAGACTTCCGAAAACTTATGACTTTTTCCGGAAAGTTACTGCGTAGAAAAATAAAGCAAACTTGAATCAGCGTTTGAAGGCGCGTCTGATGACATGCATTCCCTTCGGGCCAGATCAATTGCTAATTCCTAATTAGAGTGCATTTAAAGGGTTTTTAGGCTTGGAATTTCAATTTTTGGGTTTTGATACGTCTTTTCAGACGAACGCCTCCTTGTTGAGGATTCAAAAACACAGTCTTAAAGGCCGTGTCTTGGCAGATTTGCTTCCTGGGGGACCGACGCGCGCAACCCCAGTAGGCGCGTGCTCGAACGGCCTCACACCTGTTCGGCGCAGGACCCCATGACAGCTCCCGCATTGTGCATGCCATTCAAAGCAAAAGCTACAGGCGACAGGATTTTCCAGAGTCTCCCAACTTTCCGTAGAAACTCTCGTGTGACTTTCCTTCTGGAAAGTGGCTAAACGCTCCAAAAACGGTCTTTCCACCTTCAGACTCAAATTCGGATTCTGCGTGTCGAAAAGCCCTGAAGTATGCAGAAATGTGGAAGTGCGATTTGCTGGGGCACTGTCTTCAAGGAATTTGGTGTGACGTACCAAGATATGATTATACAGGGTCTTGATCTTTTTGGATTCGCAAAGGTCCTAAAACTCAAAGACGCGGCCTGCAAGATCGTTTGTTCGAGTGGGCTTACGATTTGATATAACTAACACATCTGATTAACATTTGAGCGCTTGAGTGCGGGTAATAATAGCCACAATGAGAACATGAGGTGCAACAATGAGGTTCACAGACGAAAACATCTGATGAACGTAATGCTAGAGTCCTGATTTGAGGGCGTTATATACTGGTGGATGTTCCATTGTATTTGTCATGGCACGTG